AAAATTTTTTTTTTAAGGAAACTATTAAAATAATAATATATACAAATAAATATATTTATTTAAATATTTATTTTTTATTAATGATATTGATATGGGAAGTTTATTTTTTTATTATTTAATTTATTATAATACTAAAAATCGAAATATTATTAGGGAGATATTTAGTTTTAATAAATAAAATTTTTGATATAAAATAAATTATGGTCCCTATATAAATAACTGTGTTTTTTTTCCAAAAAAAAAAAAACTTATTTAAAAAAAGTAAGACTAAATTCGAACTTATAAAAAACCTTTACTACAAAATATTAAAAAAATCAGAAAAAAAAAAAAAAAATAGAAAACAATACAACTATTTCCTAGAAAAAGATCTTAATATAAAATCTAAGCTTTTTATATAGAAACATCAACTAAAAACAATGCTTATTAAATAGAAAAAATAATAGAAATCTAAAATGATAAAAATATTAATGATACTACTATATATACATAAGATTAATCTAATTAAGATATGATTAAAATGGAAAAGTTTTTTATGAAAAGAGGATTTCATTTTAAGAAGAACAAAGCAGCCAATTTAAACCAAAAATCTACTCAAATAAAAAACAAAATCATATAGTAAATAGAATAAAACTTTAATTCAGATTTTGATTGCACAATATTATATTTTAAAGGCTAATCAAATAAATTAGGAGGTTTAGAAATAATAAGTTTAAGCGATGATTAATAAGAGACAATTTATTTTAATGAAATATAAAATTTATGGGAGAAAAGAACCTCTTAATAATAACTTTGCGTTTTAATTTTAGATTTTAATTATTCAGGGGTTTGGATAAAGGAAATAGAAAAAAAATAGATTTTTCAATGTCAATAATATCTAGTTGTAAAGAAGATTAAATTTCTATTTAAATTCCTAATAAAGGAGGATTATTTACATGGAATTTAGAACAAACATTTAATTAAGGAAAGTAGAATTTTCTAATCGATTTATTTGAAAAAAACGGTTAATAAAACCCGTAATTTTGGGGATTGGAATTTAAAGTATATAATTTAACAGGAATACCTTTTTTTATTTGTTCAGTAGAGGATTAAAAAAAATGGCTAAATAAATAATACAAAAAGAATATTATTTATTTAGATAAATGTAAATATTAAGGAGAATTAAAAAACGAAAAGCCTCAAGGAAAAGGAATTTCATATTTCTAAAATGGCAAAAAACTTTACGAAGGGAATTTTTACGATGGAAAATGGAATGGAAAAGGTATTCTTTATTATGAAAATGGGAATATATTTTATGAAGGAAGTTTTGTAGAAAATAAAACGCTAGGAAAAGGCATTTCTTATTATAAAAACGGGAAAAAAATGCATGAAGGAAATTATAAAAACGGACTTTGGAATGGAAAAGGAATCGCATACTATTAAAATGAAAAAATACTATATGAAGGAGATTTTATGAATGGAAAGGCTAATGGACATGGGATTCTATATGATGAAGAAGGCTAGAAGAAGTACTAAGGAGGCTTTTCGGATGGATAAAGACATGGATTTGGAATTTGGTATTCTAAAAAAGGAAATAAGATTTACGAAGGTGATTATGAAGATGGAGTTCCACATGGAAAGGGAATTTCTTATTATAAAAATAAAAATAAAAAATACGAAGGCGAATACTAAAATGGCTAATAAAGTGGGAATGGAATTTTCTATTATGAAAATGGAAACAAAAAATATTTAGGAGAATTCTAATTGGGTAAAGCAGATGGATATGGAAGCTAATTTTATTTAAATGGAAATTTATTTTATAAAGGAACTTTTAAGGCAGGAAAATGGAATGGTAAAGGTATTGCTTTTTCTTAAAATGGAAATTTTCTTTATGAAGGGGCTTTCTAAGATGGAAAATGGCATGGAAGAGGTATTTTATTTTAAGAAAATGGAAACAAATTTTACGAAGGAGAATTTTTATAACATAAGGAAGATGGACTAGGTATTAAATATTGGAAAAATGGCAATAAAATGTTTGAAGGAATTTTTAAAGAAGGTAAATGGCATGGTAAAGGTACTTTATTTTATGAAAACGGAAATATACAACTTTAAGGTTAATGGATATATGGAAATTTTATAAGATATTGATAATTTTATTTATATATAAATATATATTAATAAGATAAGTATTATATAATTATATATATTATTGTATTTTCTTTATACTAAATTAATTTTTTAAAGTTTAAAAATAAAAGATTTATTAATATCTAAAGAATTTTTTTTAACATAAATAAAATAAAAAGCCCTAAATTAAATTATTAATATAATTTTCAAAATAAAATTAATACATATCTAAGAAAATTAAATGTTTTATATTTTTTAAAAACAAATACTAGTACTGTTAACATAATTTATTTTAAAATATTTATAAACTGAGTATTTAATAAACATATCAATAAAATATGAATTATATTTTATTTTTTCCTACAAATATAATTTTTTTCCTTTTAAAAAGTTAAAATAAATTGGATAATTTATATTAAAGATTTTAAAATATAATAAGCGCATTTAAGATATATTATTAAAGAAATATTAATAAAACGATTATTAAATATAATTAAAATATTTTTTAAATAGTTATAAAGCAAATCAAAATAATATCTTTATAATGATTTTTTAAATTTACGATTAAGTGCGATATTTATATAATCTTATTTTTAGTGTATACATAATTTATTAAATTTATATTTTTTTTTTTTTTTTAAATATATAACTAAAAAGAAAATACATATATAAAACCATTTTATATATTTTTAAAAAATATAATCAATCCTCTTCTTAATATTCATTTTTTTATTTTCTTTAGTTTCTATAATTTCTATTGCTTTCATTTCCTTATTATTGACCTTAATATCCTTATTAATATTAGCCTTAAAATCCTTATTATTAAGCTTATTATCCTTGTCTTTCTAATCTTGCTTCATTTTACTTTTAAAAAATGTCATTTAAAACAATTTTTTTTCCATAATGCATTTATTCCATAATTTAGCAAACTAATTATATCCCTTCATTTGCTGTACTAAATTTTTTAAATCCATCATACATGAAACAAGGAGAAGTAATAATTTTATTACTGAAGTCAATTTAAAAAGCAGAAGGACTTCTTTCAATAGTTGTAGCACCTAATTTTTCAGCTACATCAATTGCTCCAGAATGAGGCCATTTATTATCCTTTTCAGTTTATCTCTTGCCTAATGTAATCATTGGCTTCTTTTCTCCCAAAACCTTAGCTATTAAAATAGGACTAATGCAAACAGCACCAATAGGTTTAGCTTAATTGTTAAAATCCTATATATTTTTAATTAATATAAATATATAAAATATATATGATTTTTTTTACTTATATAGCTTTAGAAACATCTTCATTAACTGTAAATTCTTCTCCTTTTTCGGCAAAGTTAGATAAATTTTTAGCTACTCCGAATCCTCCAGGTATTAATAAAGCTTAAAATTCTTCAGCATTTAAAGTCTTAATATCTCTTACTTCAGATCCGAAAAGTTTTGATTATTCTAATACATTTCTCTTTTCATTCATTACTTCGCCATTTGTATGATTTATTACATGATGCTAATCTTAATTTGGAGCAAACATATGTACTTTTACGTTCATTTTTTATAGTTATATTAAAATGGATATTGTTTCTGTTACCTCAGAACCTTTTTTTATTATTTTTATTTTTATTTCTATTTATAAAAATACCATCGAATACTCCACATCCTGATAATATAACAGCTACAGAGTTAAATCTTGGTTTTTGATATACATTTGATTCCTAATTTTAGATTGTTCCTTCAACGGTTTAGCAAAACTTTTTTATTTTTATTATTTAGATTATGATTAATTTAATGATTTTTATTTTTACTTTGAACGAAAACGGGTTCAATGCTTTAAATTTAAAGAGTTATTTAGAAATCATTTTTTTTTTTTAATTTTATATTTTTTATTATTTAATATCTTTTTTTATTATTTTATATCAGTAAAAAAAAATTATTTAAGCTTTTTTTATTTAAACTATTATTTGCTTTAAATATTAATATGAAAAAATAAACTATATAAATATTTAAGTTTACATAAAAACATTATCTTTTTATAAAATATAAAAATAAATAGTATCAACTTATTAAAATTATAACATTATGTCATAATAAAACGTCTAAAATCAATTTACATTACTTTATCCTTTTAAATTAAGAATTTCTATTAATTCATTTTCATTAAATATTTCAAAAGACTCCTCCTCATCTTTATATTCAAAAATAAATTATTAATTAGAATGTATAAAAGTTAATATTTATATAAAATAAGCATATTTATTTAAAATACAATAATTAAAATAGAAAATTACTTTAATTTTTTAAATTAATTATTTATGAAGATTCGTCTTAGCAACTTTGTTTTTAATTAATAATTTACTAGGTTTCAATTTGTTTTTTAAGATAACTGTTAGATTTAAGAAGATTAGAAATACTACACTTAAACATATTTTTTAAATTTTATTCTTAAATTGCTATTATTTTACTTTCCATTTAATATATAAGTATTTATAATTTTAATTTTTCTTAATTGGCGATATATATTTTCCTTATTTTAGTTTTCTCCTGATTTTCATCTATATATAATACAATAGAGCCTATTAAACATTCTAAATGTAGACCTATAGGGATTTAAAAGGCGAAATTATTTAAATCTATAAAACAAATCGATTAAACTTCTAATTTCTCAGCTAATTCTAATCTTTTATATAAATTTAAAATATAGAAAAAAAAATATATAAAAAAATAATTAACGTTTTTCTATATATTTCAAACAATTTTATTTAAAGATTTTATATATTTGTTTAATTAGTATATTAAGGTAATACTGCATTTATTATATAACTTATTTTCATTTCACTTTCATTAATAATATGTGAAACACTACCTGTATTTACTAGATTAAATTTTTGGCTTGTAAATATATATTTTTATATTTATTTTTTTACTAAATAAATTATTTTTTTAAATATCAAACACTTTTCTTTTTTTTTAATTTTTTTTTTTTTAACTATTAATATATATATTTTTTTAAAAAAAAACTTAGATTTTTAAACTATTGGAGAAAGTGTAAAAGGATATTAGTGAGCATTTACTTTTTAGTTATAATTAAATATTCTAAAAAATAATTAAATTTTTAATAATACCAATAGCATCACATTAAATTTTAAAATAATCAGCATCTAAAACTAAAAAAGATGTTCTATGTATTTAACTTTTATGTAAAATTTTCATTTTATTTTAATCTATTAGTTTTTCGTTTCTTTGGCATGTAAGAAAAACTTTATTTATGTATTATTTTAAACTGAAATTTTAATTTTTATTGTTTTAAATTTACTTCCCATTTTATTTTAAGGTAGGTACTTAAAATTTTATTGTTATATAAAATAAAATTTAATTGATAATAATTGGTAATTAAAAACACGTTTTTTAGTTATTATTATTAATAAATATAATTTTATTGATTGAATCGAATCATTTGGCTTATAAGTTTAAAGTTCTAAAATATAATAAATAAAGTCTAATACTTATATTTAAATATTATAAAATTATAAATAAAATATTCCGAATAATAGAATACATTTTTTTTTTGCATATAAATTATATTGTATTAACTTTTAATCATTTATTTTTAGGTTTATATAATAATTGGTAATTTATTTTAATAATATAAAATAATTTTTTTTTGTACAATTATGTAAAATTTATAAAAATAATTTATGAAATTGATTATAATTAGCAATATTCAGAAATTCAAATAAATTTTTGAGAAAAAATATATGTGAAAATCTTAAAGGGAAGCCTATTTTGTGTTTTGTGTTTCCATTTATTTTTTGAAAATTTTTAAGTTATTTTATTTTGCACAAATTTCAATTATCGTCTCGTCTCCAGATTTATTTTTTTTATCGAAAATTTTCTAAGTTTTCATTCCATCAATATTTTTAAATTGTTATTTATATAAAATATTTGGGAAAACTTAAAATTTTATATTGAAAATATGGAAAACTTGCAATTTTGCTATGAAAATATGGCATATTCTAAATAATTTTGAAGCATTTTCTTGTTTAAAACAATTTCAAAAATATAAAGATAAAATTTATTATAAAAAAGAAAAAAGTATGAAATTTAATATAAGTAATTTATAATATTTTTCAAAATTAATTTTCTGGACTTTTGTTTACAGAAAATTTTTTTTTTATAGAAATATTTCTATTGCAAATTTTGGATTAAATTATTTTGCTAATTTTTTTTTTTTTTCTGTTTTTACATATTTTTTATATTTAATTTCATGTCTTTACAATTACAAATAATTTAGCTTTAATGATAATACTATTAACTTTATTCATTATAGTCTAGACATTATTTATTTTATAAAAAATTAATTGTATTAAAATTAAACAATAAAATATATAAAAATACATTAAAAATTATTAAAAAAAAAAAAAAATAACTTAACAAAAATAAAAATAATTTAATATTCAATTAATAATAAATATTAAAATACAAAATAAATAATAATAACTTAATAGTTATATCAAAAAAATGATATAAAATATAAATTTCTAAAACATATTAGTAGCAGTTGATGGTTCAGATTATAGTATAAAGGCTTATAAATAGTGTTAAGAAACATTCGGATTAATCAAAGAAAAAATAAATTAAACAATAATACTACATATAACAAATAGTAAGAAAGACTATTTGCCATTAAATTATTAAGGATAGCAAATATATGATTATTATATCGAAAATTGCGTTTTTTTATATATTTTTTTATTATTTAAATTTATTTTTTTACAAAAAGTTGTAATATTAAAATTAAAGACTTATTATTGAAGAATAAAATTCTGAGCTTCCTTCTTGTAGAGAACAAATATTAAATATTGCAAATAATATGTAAATAAGTTTTATTTTCGTTGGATATTATGGAAGAAAACAAGAAAAAAAGTTAAACAAAAATTAATATTAATTATAATTATTTAATAAAATATAACAAAAAAAGAGATAAAAATGGTATGAGTTAAACAGTCAAGCATTTATGCTTTCATAGTCAAATTCCAGTTTTTATTATCAAAGAATTAGTTTGTAGAAGTACTGATTCTTCACCTATTACTTATTTAGCTTGTTTAGACGGTTCAAATAAAGCTTATAAGGCATTGAATGTGTGCTTAAGTTTAAGAAATTAAGGAGATAAATTTATTTTTTGTTATGCTCCTACGCCTGATAAATAAAAATTCAGTAAAATAATTAAAGCCAAATTAGAATAAGAATTAGAAAATTTTAAAGATGTAGAAAATAAATATTTATATTTTTTGCTATTTTTTTATAAAAAAGATCGCTTGGTAATTTTTAGAATTAGAAACTTCATTTTAAGTCGTTTAATCAATATGTTAATATATTAATAAAAATAAAATTAGTTATGTTGTGGTAAATATTATTATTTTCTTAATTTATTTTAATATTAAAAAATAGATTGGAAATAATGGTTATAGAGCTCAATTAGAAAATAAGAATTTCTTTGGAAATACTGGAGAATAAATAGTTCTAAACTCGAATTCTAATATAATAATAATACCTTGAAAAAGCATTAAAATAAAAATTAAAGAAATAAAATAAATATAGTATATATATAAAAAAGATATATTTATCGTTCAAAAAAAAAAAAAAATACCAAAATACCAAAATATAAAATTACTAAAAAAATAAAAAATAAATGCTATAAGCTTTCCAAAAACTACATAAAATAATAAAACCATAAAAATCATTCTTATAAAAATTCCAATTTTCAGAAAGATTAAATTTAAAGGAAAAATCATCACTTCCACCATCTTAGCAAGTAATAGGTATAGATTTAGGGACTGCAAATGCCGTTGTAGCAATTCTCCAAGATAAAAATGCTCCAAAAGTAATAGAAAATGCAGAAGGAATTCGTGTCACTCCATCAGTAGTATCGTTTTCGCCTGATGGAACGCCATTTGTAGGCACTCCTGCCAAGCGCGCAATAATGACAAATCCAGAAAACACTATTTATGCAATTAAAAGACTTATCGGAAAAAACTATGACGAAGTGGAAGAATATATAAAAACCCTTTCATATTAAATAAAAAAGTCTCCTGAAAACAGGCCTTTAATTTAGGCTAATGGCGAAGAATACCTTCCAGAATAAATAGCTGCAGTAATATTAAAAAACCAAAAATAAACAGCTGAAGCATATTTATCAAAAAGCATCTCAAGTGCAGTAATAACAGTTCCAGCGTATTTCAATGAATAATAAAGAGATGCAATGAAAGAATCTGCAAAGTTAGCAGGTTTAACCCCAAAAAGATTATTAAATGAACCTGTTGCAGCTGCTTTGGCTTTTTCTGCAGGCAAATCTTAAAATTAGGATATTTCAAAGGTAGCTGTCTATGATTTTGGAGGAAGTACTTTTGATTTTTCAGTCTTAGAATATGGACAGGGCGTATATGAAGTACGTGCTTTTGCAGGTGATTTAGAATGCGGAGGTAATGATATAGATGATTTAGTAACAGAATATATCATAAAGGAATTCGAAAATTAAAACCCTGGTGTAAAAATAAGTCAGGATAAATTAGCTTTCCAGAGAATCCGTGAAGCTGCTGAAAAAGCAAAATTAGAGCTTTCCTCCACAACCTAAACAGAAATTAATTTACCTTACATAACAGCTGATGTGACAGGTCCAAAGCACGTAATAGTGAATTTAACAAGAGGAAAATTCGAAAATATAATAAGATAAATTATTAATAAGACTTTTTAGCCTATTAAATAATGTTTAGAAGAATAAAAAATAGAAGTTAAAGATTTTCATGATATTATCGCTATCGGAGGTTGCTCAAAAATACCATTAGTATAAAAATATGTGGAAGAGTTTTTCTAGAAAAAAATCAATAGAAATATTAGTCCAGATGAAGCTATTGCTATGGGAGCCTCGCTTTAAGGCAGCGTCCTTGAAGAAGCTCTAAATGAAATCAAAGTTCTTGATTATGTGCCTCTTTCTATTGGAATTGAAACCAGGGGAGGAATTTACAAAAAAATTGTTGAAAGAGGAACTCCTTTACCAACTAAAAAGTGTATTATACTTACTAGTTCTAAAGATAATTAATAATATATCAATATACATCTTTATTAAGGAGAGAGGCCTCTTGTTAAATATAATAGATGGGTTGCTAGTAATGTTTATTGTTTTATGGAACCAACAAGAAAAGGTTGGCTTTAAATTAAAGTTGAATTTGATATTGATTTGTTAGGATAATGTAAAGTTTCAATTCGTGAAAAAGATCATATGTAGCCTTTAGAGTTTGAATTTATTGCTGATTGTGGGATACCTTCATATGCAATCCAAGAAAAAATAACAGATTTTTATTAAAATTAAAAAGATGATAAGAAAGAAGTTGAGGAAATCAAAAAGATCTTAAAGTATTTTGATGAATAATACTATGTATATAAACTTGCTGATGGTGAAGATTCTGAATTCAATTTTTGAGTTTATTTAAACAAACATATTTATAAATATATAATTATATAATTTTTTTTATTTATATTCAAATTTAATTTTTATAATTTATGTTTATTAAAGATTCAGGTTTTTATTATATATTTTTTTTCTTCTTTCCCTTTGACAGTACTTTATTATTCATCACTTTTATTTCTATTGCATATATTTAATGTTATCTATTATAAGTCACTTTAATTTTATTTTAGTTTCCAAATTTATTAAAAATTGAATATATACTATTCATATTAATAATATATTTACTAATTAATTTGATTGCTTTTAAAATAAAGTAATTTTTTACATTTGAATTTGATAGTTTATTTTTTAAAATCTAAATATTTAGCAAATTTATGAGCAAAGTATTTTAATCAATTCAATATAAATTCCGACATTTTATTTTAATCTTGAATTTTTTTATAAGCCTAAAATGCCCTGAAGCTTTTGAAGTATTAGTTATCTTATCTCATAAAACAATATTGATAACTTTACTAATCCATTTTATCATCATAAATATCTTATATTTTAATTTTAGTGTTTAGGAAAATATAATTAAATTTTATTTAAAAAAAATATTTTTTGTTATCAAATACATTTTTTATTAAAATAATATAAATTAATAATCAAAAATAAAAGGTGCTTACACCTACATATTAAAATCGGTATATTTTATATAGATAATGCATTATAAATCTAAAATTTTCGTAATTGTGATAGTTAGTTTAAAATTTACTTTATAAATATTATAATAAATAAAGCAGCAAACCATATAAATTATTAAAAAAATAATGTAAGATTTGATAATTCGATTTGCAAATAAAAAAAAATCATAATTTTTAATAAATAAAATAATTAATATAAACATTTTTATATGAAATATATTATTATAAATTTCCTTGAAACAAAATTAAAAAAAAGCTTAAAATATATATATAAAAAAAATTCTATTTTAAATTATCAACAAATAATATTCCAATTTCCATTGAAAAATGTCAGAACTTTTCTTTCATTTTCTATACAATTATTTGAATTTTCAGCTGCTACATTTTAAACTGCATAAACTTTTCCATCACAAACCACAGGATTATTATTCCAGAATCCTTCTGCAATAGGTAACTATTAAACTCCATCAAAGCAAATCACATTATCACTAACTTAAAAAACAAAGCAAATATTACTTGCTGTATTATCTTCAAAATACCCCCCGAAAATTAAAATATCATTACTATTAATTTAAACACAAGATGAGCTGGATAATAGTGCAAATTCATTTAAAGGTACTTTTTCGATTTTAGGATCCAAAAGTACCCATGAATTTCTCTCCTAATCAAAGCATTCAATATAAGGCGAAAGTTACAAATCCTCCCCAATTCCTCCAAATTTAAATAAGAATTTATTTTAAAATGCACAAACAGCTGATGAAGCACATCCAAAATTTAAAGATGGAGCCAAATCCCACTTAAAATTTTTCAATGAGAATTTTTCGCATTATTTAGTCATTTAATTATTCTCATCAAAACCTCCAATAACATAAATAAAATCATTCAAAAAAACCATTGAATGAGAAGATCTTCCGATATTCATTTTTTCCAAAAACAGCATCTTTTCTTCTTCAAAACTATACTTCATAATATATTTGTTTTTTACTTTTTTTTCCATATAAGTTCCTCCACACAAATAAAGATCACCATTTGGAATACTTAAAGATTTATGAAAAGAAGGAATTCGAAATTCTTCTTCTACATTTTTTAATGTTATTTCTTCAAAATAAAAATCTTTTATTTCATTTTTCAAATCTAATAAATATAATTTATTCCATTCACTTTAAAAAAAATGTAAATATGCTAATTCGCCTTAAAACTATGACTATATATTCACTTCGTATGCATTTTTTTAATTTTTTTTACATTATTCTTCTTTAAATAAACCAACTTTTCTAACTCTTCCAAAAACTTGTATAAACGAGACTCATTTAATGTAGGAATTACGATATTTGAGTTCAAAAGAAGTTTATTTGCTTCTTTTTTAAATATTTGTATTGTATTTTGTATATTTAATTTGCTTATTTTAACTATATTATCGATGCTTAATAACGAATTGTTTTTAAAAGAATTTAAAAAAACTAATATTCACTAATTTAGTTATGAATTTTGGAAAATAAACCATCAAAATCCTACTAATTTGAAGGCACTTTTTATTAAAGTTGATTTTCTAACTAAAAAAAAAAATTTTCTAGAATATCATATAAACGATGCTTAATTGAATTTAAAATTTGAATATTTTCCTCAGGAAAAGTAAGTTAATTCTCGATATTTTAAATATTTTTTTCCAAATATGAAATTCCGAAAAGAAGCTTTTATTCACAATCATTTTTAATTTGGCGAAACGAAATAATATCAGCAAATGAAGATGTTGTTTTATGAAAATTATTATGCTAATGTATACATTCTGGACACAATGGAATTAAACACTCTTCATTTTGGCAGAAATTTGTTATTAGCTCTTGTGGGTGAATTCTACAATTATATTTTATTTTTATTGATGACATTATTTTTTTATTATAAGTGCTTATAATAACTTTTATTTGTTTTTGTATTTTTGTTATTATTTTTTCTATTTTTTGTTAAAGAAAAAATAATATTTTGCTATTTTTATAAATAATATTATTTAAAAAAAGAAAGAAAAATGAATAAAAAAAAAAAAGGATTTATTGTTACAGGTTTCGGTGAATTTTTTAAAATTAAGGATAATCCGACTGCATATTTAATAAATAATTTAAGTGAAGAAGAAAAATAATAATTTAATATCATAGATTCTTCAGTCTTAGAAGTAAGTATTTAAGGAGTTGATGAATATTTATAGAAAATATAAAAATTAATTGAATAAAACAAAGATAAATATGAAAACTTTATTATACTTCATTTAGGTGTATATTAAAATAGCGGAGCTTTCAGAATTGAGAAAACAGGATATAATGAAAAAACTTTCAGAGGAATTGATATGAGAGGGAATTAACCTTAATAATAAAATATATGTGAAGATTTGGATTTTAGCTAAGGAATAAACTCATAAGTTAATTGTGAAAAAATAATTTGCTTTTTACATTAAAAATTTTGCCTTTAAAATTAATTAAAACTTGAACAAGTTTAATTAAGCGATAATCCAGGAAGATATATTTGTAATTATACATATTTCTAAAGTTTATATTTTTGTAATTAATAATGTTAAAGTTATGTTAAAAGTCTTTTTATACATGTTCCTACTTTTTAGGAAATAAATGAAAAAATCTAAAGTAATATGTTAAGATGTGTTTTATCATATTTGTAAAATGATGAAATTTGATAATTTATAAATAAGTAATAATATTTTATTATAGTTAAAAATAAACAAATCGAAAAAATTAAAGGGAAATTTTTAGATAAATAAAAAATATATTAAAAGAGTTATAATAAAATTACAAAATAAAAATAAGATTAAATAAAATTTTATAAAAAACAAAAATAAAAAAAATTAATTATATTTATATATTTAAAATTAATAAGATATTTACTAAATTAATTAGTTTAATAATTTCATAAATATAAATCCCAAAAATATTTTTATATTTATTTATTTTAGTAAATCATTTTTACTATTTCTAATAAATTTTTCTAATAAGCAATTATCTATAACATTGATATTTTTTTTACTTTTTAGATATCATCAAAAATTTATGTAATTTTATTTTTATTAATATATTAAAATCTTGTTTTTAATAAAGTATTTTAAAACAAGCATTAATCATTCATTCTTTAATTAATTTTAATTTAAAAATAATATATATTTACTTCATATAATAATCATTATATTATATAATATTATCTTTTAACAAAAATTTTATATTAAGTTCTTTTCTTATGTTTTATTTAATTATTTATTGTAAAATAATTATTTTTGAATTTACATATTCAATTCTGATTAAATTAAATTTGTTGTGTGCAAATTTAATACAAAAAGTTATATTATATCTAGGAAGTTATCAGTAGATTATAATTTATAATTATATATGCTTTTTAGAAAAATATTAATAATTAAACTTTTTTAATAAATAAAAAAATACTTTAAAAATAAATTGAAAAATTATAATTATTTATTAATATATTAATAATTTTCCAATAATAATTATAGTTATTCTTTGTCAAGTTATTTTAAACTTTTTTTTCATAAAATTAAGATTATTATTATTTTTTTTAAAAAAAAAACGACAATTCCAATTCTAGTTCATTTAAATTATTAGGAATCGATTTAAATAATAAATTAAAAAAATTTAATTGGTATATTATTGGATTATCCCTTTAAACAAAAATATAAATGTTTCTTCTTTTAACAATATTATTATAAAATTAATACACCAAATTAAGTTTAACTACTTATAAACTTGGAATAGAAAAAATTCTATTAAAATTTTTAGCTAAAACTATTAAGGAATCGTTCGATATTTAACAATTACTAAATTTATTAAAAAAAATACAAAAATATATATATATATATATATATATATATATATATATATATATATATATATATATATATTAAACAATGCTATAAGATTAAAAAAACATATTTTCCTTGGTAAATTCATTAAATTTTTAATTATTTCAGTAAATACTTAATCATTCAAATTATTATTGCTTTTATTTTGTTTTAAAATCATATAATAGATTTTTAAAATGTAATACCTAATAGCAATTTAAAATTTCTAAATATTCTTGGGTAACTTTAGAAATATGTAAGGAATATAATTTTATGTATTTTATTGATTTTAATAATTTCTGTCTAAAGTATTTTAATAATTGTTCCTATTAATTTTATATTTTATAAATATATAAACTTTACCTAAAATTTAATGTCAAAGTCTATAAATTTTCAGGTAAATCTTTAATTGAATTGCTTAATTTTAGAAATAGTTTATTTTTAAAATCTATATTTCTTTTTTATTTTTAAATAAAAATTAAAAGCATAAAATTTATAAAATATTTTTATAAAACTCTAGATTAATTTTAATCTATAATATATTCTAATTAATAAATTTAAAGTTTTAAATATTTTAATAAATTGATTCTGGACTTGAGTTCCTTTTTTATTATTTATTAATTTTTATTAGTTAGTATTAGAATTTCTTATTACGTAAAATCAAATCTTATTTGCTGTAAATTTTTATATTTCAAACATTTTTATTGATTGAATAAACAATATTAATTAACAACTATACTTTTAATTTAACTTTCATTTTATACTAAATTTAGTTATCCTCTTTACTAATTGCCCATTGTTTTAAAATAATTTAATAAAATAATTGATATAAAATAAAAATATGTAAATAGATTAATTAATATTAATTTGATATATAAAATTTTATCTAATTTCAAAAATAATAAAATAAAAAAAATATTATATATTTAATAATTAAATTTATAAATATTTTTAAACAAATATAATTTCAAAAATAACAATTATTAAGATAATTTATAAATATATGATAATTTTTAATTTAATAAATCTTAAAAATAATATAAATTCATTATTTTTTTATAATAATAAATAAAAAACTTTTATAAGGATATAACAAAATATATATATATATTTTCAAAGCAAATTATATAGATACATATTAAAAAATTTAACAATTAAAATTAAACTCATAATTTTTTGGTATCTATATATAATTTAGTAAAAAACATATAATTATTTTTTTCAAAATTTTTATTTTCCATTATTAAATGCAATGTATTAATTGCTTATAAATGCTTTCGAAATTTAAATGATAAATAAGATTATAGTCTTTTTCTTTTCTTTATTAATAGCAAGAATATTTTCATATTATTTAAACAATTTATATACGGTTTTTTCTTACTTTATTTTCTTTTTAAAAAATAACCGCCGAGAAAAATATGAATTATGGTATTTTTTTTTTATATTTTTTCTAAAAATTATAAAAAATAATACAATTTATTATTAAAAAAAATATTATTTGGGATTTACAATGAGAATATCTTAAGAATATTAAAATTATTATATTTTAATATCTTCTTCAAACACAATATAAGTTGAATTGCCTTTGGAGTCTTTTCTTTTATATAATTATTATTGGAATAATATATGTGTATTTTATATCAAAATTTTTTCATTTTATCCATTTAAAATTAGCATAATTAGGTAAATCTTAATTTTAATATTCAATCAATCAAACAATAACTTTATTTTTTATAAAAAAAATTATTAACAATTGTCCAAATTAACTAAAAATATTAAAGTTATTAATTTAGATAATTAATATCAAAAAATTTTGTTTAAAAAGAGAACTTTAAATTTATTAGAAGAAGTTCAATTTTTATTTAAAAGTTATAATTTTTTGTGTATATTCTTCTTATAAAAAAGGTTGGTTTTTATTTAATATCTGTATTACTTTTGGGGAAAAAAAAAACAAGACAATTAATTTTAATTGTTTATCCAGTTTTTGACTTTATGATAAAAAAATAAAAATTAAAGATATTTATATAATACTGTAAATTACTTATTTAAAAAAAAATTATTATTATTATAAATTGTTTAGTTAATATTTTTAAATGTAATTTTTTTGTAAAATAAGTTATGTATTATATAATAATTTATATAAAAATCTAAATTTAATATTATAAATTAAGGAATAATATAAAATTTAATTTATAAATGTATATTTTTAAGAAAATTTCTATAATTAATATTTTTAGATTTTAAAAATAACACAATATAGTATGTAAAAATAAAATAAATATTATTAAGAAAGAAATATATTATTTATGGTAAAAAGTCTTAGAATTTCCATTTTATTTTATTAAAATAATTATTTCAATTTCATAATAAAAATAAATGAAAAAAAAAAAAAAAAATATTAAGGAATTTATATATTTTTTTATAAGAAAATTAAATATTTTATTGAAAATTATAATATTTATATATATATTATATTAATTTATTTGTATTTAATTATAATTTTATTTTATACATTTGTTTTTTTTTTTTATTTTTATATATTTTTTTTTTATATTTTTATATTTTTGTATTTTTATATTTTTTATTTTATTAAATTTAATATTAATATTTAAATATTTTATATATAATTTTATATATTTGTATATATAATTTTATAAATCATATATATATAATCTTGTTATTAGTATTATTTTATTTTATATTTTTATTTTTTATATTTTTTTTATATTACATTTTTCATTAAATATATTTTTTTATTTTATTTATAAAAAATTAATAATTTTAAAACAATTATTTTTTCTAATATATATATTTTTTTTATTTTCAAAATAAATTATCATATGTAATATATTTATTTTATATATTATATATTTTTTTAATATATTTACAATTCTTTAAAATTAAAGACTTTTTTTGTTAATATTCTAACACAAGTTATACATAAAAAATTATATTTTTTTATTAATAGAATTTTTTTTAAAATAAAACATAATATTCAAAAAAATTAATAAAAAAAATTTATTATTTGATATTTATTATAATTAAAAAACTTCTTTTTATCAAAATATAATAAAAAAATTAAAAAGTTATATCCAAACAATAAATATAATTATTAGATAACACAAAAACTCAATGTCAAATATAAATAAAAATATGATTATAAAGATTTTAAAATTATCATTATTAAAATTGTATTTATATTTAGAAATTTATTTTAAAATGCATATATTACTTTTTTATATACATAAACTATATATATTTTTAATTAATATAATAAAAAAATTAAATATTTTATGAATATAACTAAAAAAATTAAATAAATAAAAATTTTGATTTTAATTAAATTGCAAATTAAATTTTAAATTACAATTTTACACAAAAATACAATATATTATAAGTATTAATTAATATCATATTAAAATAAATCAACTTGCGAATTCATCAGCTAATGAAAACCTAGCAATCTTTTAATTTTTATTTTTATTTTTATTTTTATCGTCATAATCTTTAGCCTTTCCAACCATAATGAGTATCCATGACAAAATGCTCGAAGCTATAGGAACAATAACAGTAACCCATCTAATAAAACTCTCATTTCCATCTTTAAAAAGTGAACTTTCAGTAATAATAAAAAGAACTATACCTGTAGAAATTTTATCCAGGAAGCTGTAACTACCAAAAACAAAAGCACCTCCAGCTCCTCTTAAACCAATGACTTCTGATATAAGATTAATAGCAGTATTAAGTTAAATTGCTTAAGAAAATCCGCTAATAGCCGCAATAACATATATAAAGTAATTAGAAAATCCGTCATCAGCTTTCATAAAAGCCAGAGCAACTTCAGAGACTCCCATAAGAACAACTCCAAGAGTGAATGTTTATTTTCTTCCAATTTTTTAATATAAAAAATTGAGGAAAAATGATGCAAAAACAGAAGAATTATAAAGCAATAAAGAAATAAGTACCAATTAGAAGGGTAAATTAAAACTTTTGTTGTCATTTTTGATTACTTTTATAACATAAATTAAGTAAAAGTTCAACATTGTGCTTATTACATTGCAAAAAAGACGTGTTCCCATATATGCGATGCCATATTAGTAAAATTGGACTTACTTAAACCATTATTTCCAATCGATAATATTTTCTGATAGTGATTCTGCCCTTTTGGTTTTTTTTAATATTTCCTTATTTTAATTTAATTCTTCATCTTCTGAAAGCATCAAGTCATCGGCAATTCCTCCATTTTTATCCAAAACGCACTAATCTCCTTTTTCTTATTTTCTTTAAAAAGAAGAATCGTCTTTATTTTAAGATTCCTTGTTTAATTCAAGGTTATTTTTTACTTCTCTTTCTTTCAAAATTTCCTTTAAATTTCTAGCATAATTAGTACATTCTTTAGTTAATTAGACTTCTCTGCAATAAAAAAGGAAAAAAAGTGAAGTTAAAATTCCTATTCCTGCGCATGTAAATCCTAAAGCTTGAAATTATTATTTTCCGTCATTTATAGTTTTCGAAAATATCAAAGCTAATAATAATACGACTAGATTAGCAACAAAAGTAAATGTATTTCTCCGTGTATTCAATATATCTCGGCGATATCTTGAACATGTTAGTGAAGGAACTAGCGACATATGTGATATTTGAACAGCGGCCCAACCCACATTGAAAATTGAAGGGAAAAATGTATAAAAAAATAATTAAAAACTGTAATTATCATTTAATGGTGGAAATATTTTTATAAATATTGAATTCGCCCATATTGGAATAAATGATATTATTACTAATATAAATCCAAATAAATACCAAGGAGTCCTTTTACCCATAAATGTATTCGTTTTATCCGAAAAATAACCTACTAATGGGGTTGCTATAGCATCAAATAATTAACCACTTAATATAGAATATGAAGCTTCTTTAAATTCCAAAACTTGAGTTAAATATAATATTAGATAACTTTTTATTTTTTTAATATATCTTTTTATAATTATTTTTAAAATATATTTTTTTACTTAAACCAACATGCAGCACATAAATCATTAAAAAAATGACCAGTTGCATATGCCCAAATTTAATGTTATTTTAAACTGTCATATTTATATGATTTTACTATATCTTTTTCGATAAGAATATCATTCTGGGTTTATTCTCTTTATTATTCCATAATTTTCAATTATTTAATATAATATTTGTCAATAAATAATTAATATAAAAATTTAGTATATGTTTTTATAATAATATAATATTTTTTTAATTTATTTTAACTTTTTTATTTAGAGATTTATAAAAGAATTATTAATATATAAAATATAATAAGTAAATCCAAAAATAATATATAAAAAATAAAAAAAATAAAGAGATTAATACAAATTATATATTACTAAAATAATGATTTAAATAATATTTCATATTTATTTTAAAAAAAAATATTAAAAAATAGTTTATTATATTATTGTATAATTAAAATATTCTTTAACATTATATCATCACTATATTAATATATAATAAATATAAAGATATTAGCATAATAATATAGGTTAAAAATTAAAATTTAAAAAATTTGCCTTATAATTACTATATATATAAAGAATACACAAAAAAGAAAAACAAAATTATAGAATAATAAATATAAAATATTTTATATAAATAATTATAATATAATTATTATTAATTTATGATTAAAAAATAAAAATATAATTACTTTAAATTCTATATTAATATAATTATTTAAAGAAATAGAATAAAACATGTAAAAAAAAAAAAAAAATATACTAAAAACACATTAAAAAAAAAAAATAAGATATGAAAATTTATATTAAATAAAAAAATATTCATATAATTAAGGATATTTTAAACAAAAAAATATAAAAAAAACAATTATTAAAAATATATAAATATAAATTAAATATATATTTAAAATAATTATAAACATTTAAAATATTATTATAATTAAATAGAAAAAAAATATAAATATAAATATAAATATAAATATAAATATAAATATAATATAAATATAAATAAATAAATTAATTATATTTTATTACTATTTTTTTTTTTTTTTTTATTATTAATTTTTTTTATAACTAAAAAGTTTCATTTATTATACTTTATCTATTTTTTTAAATATAACTATAATATTAATATAATTTATATAAAATTAAGTATTGATATTAATTTAATTTATTTCTTTTATAATTACTTTTTTTTCAATATGAATATGATATTTTTTTTTTTTTTAAATAAATTTTTATAATTATTATAATAAATAGTTATTTTTTATATAAAAAAACTTTTAGAACATAATTTTTCATTACTTTAAAACTTTAAAATGAAATTAGAGTTAAAATATCTTATTTTAAATAATAGTTCATATATCAATTTTTAAATATTAAATTATTAATTAGATATTTTTATAGATATAAATATTTTATAATAAAACTAGTTTATAAAAAGTTTTTATTGTAAATATAACATCAAAGAAAGACATAATAGTTTTATTTATTTTTTTAAAATATTAAGAGAACATTAAAATTTTAATTTTAATTTTATAATTAAATTAAAATAAATAAAAAAATAATAAATATTATTCAAAATATATAAAATTTAGAAATAAATATTTTATATATAATGAATATATTATTAAAAAAAAATTGTAATTATTATTATTATTATTATATTTATTATTATTATTATTA